TCGACGTGGATCTCTTGCCTAACCTTACTTTAGCGACTTTCCAGTGTCTACCTCAGCGTGTGTTGTCTGTCCCCTAGCTCCGCAACAGTGGCATACTGGCATTATCAATTCATCGTATCCTAATAATATATATTTCAATCAAATGGCCTGTTCGCTGGTTGGTGCTGGTGCTGGTTTAGACTGGTTGGTGCTGATTTTTTTGAGAAAAAAACATTATTAACTGACTGATTTGACCTGGCTGAGACCAACAAACGAACAGTGCTGAAACTTTGCAACTTTACTCCGGACTTCAACAGCAGCTTACGTCCCATCGATTCCTCCACTGTCGAAACGTGCGGTAACTCCTGTGAAAATACTCCTGCACTACCAGAGGCCTAGCTAGGTAGCTGCTGCAGTTGCCAATTAATCTAAAGATATGATTCGGTGTGGCCAGCTCACGCAGCCAGCACGTCCATGTCGCCAGGCTTTTCGTGGCCGTTCGATCGGCCGCGCGGACGGCCCAGATCGGGCGAGCCACGGTCATTTTTCGAAAAAATCCTTCTGCTTTTCGGAAATCAACCCGCGATCCAGAGTCCCTCTCAGGATATTTTGCAAGAAACTTCTTAGATTTTTTTGAAATCAACTCGCAGTCCAGAACGGATACCCTCCGGGTTTTTTGCAAAAAAACCCTTACCTTTTCTGAAAATCGACCCATGCTCCACAAACCCTCTCACCATTTTTTGCAAAAACCTCCTCGGGTTTTTCTCAAATCAACATACAATCCAACTTTGATTATATCTTTTTTTTCCAAAAAAAACGTTTGGCCAGTGCACCGCGCGCATGGACGCGCCCGAAAGATTAGTAGCTAGTATAGTATAGGATAGGGCTGCTAGCCCTAGCCATATACAGTAAGGAAAAGTTAAGGAGCCCTTCGTCTCACGTAACGTTGCAGTTGAAACGGAATATATACTCCTGGCTAGTACAGTGTATACAGTGCAAAAATGTTCCAAATCAGGGGCTTCATCTATCCAATGATCCGTTTATAGACATGACACGAGTGTTCCAAATCAGTGCACGAGGCATATATGGGGAGACACATCAAAAGATTTGGATAGAGTTTAGCAGGCATATTTCCCAACCATGCATGCATTTACAGCATATATTAATGGTGGTTATGTTATGTGCACCAAGTCCAAGTGCACGTACCAAAAATGAATTACTCCCTCCGTTACTCAAAAAAATGACGTTTAGGACAGCATTTAGGATACCAAGGAGTAATTAATTAGGGTAGAGTTTTCCCTCACTGCCCCTATTAAATATACTTGCGGTGCATGCTATACGAGAACATCCATTAGCTCAAACGGTTAGCGCAGCGACGTGTTAAGGCCGAGGTGCTCGGTTTGAAGTCTGGTGGGCGCATTTTTTTTTGCTAGTGGCGCATTTTTGCATGGCCTGTTTACGCTGCATGGCGCGCGTACCAGAATCAGTTTTCGCTAATTTTGGCCTGGCGCGCGTGGGAGGCGCATGGCGCACCCCTGGCCGCAAGTTTTCACTGAAAATTTTGCCGTGGCGCACTGGAGGTTGTTTGGGCGCGTTGTTTTCGCGCGTCTGGTCAATTTTTTGTTCGGATTAACAAGATTAAATGACGTTTGGGTTGCCTGAGTTTCTATTAAAGCGTCACTCTTCTATTCTTCACCCCACTTCTTCACTCCACTGCTCTTCTTGTTCATGCCACTTCTTCACTTCTTCACTGAGCTATCACATGGCTGATGTTGTGTTTGATCTCAACGTTCGATTAGAAGACGATGACGACGGCAACGCTGGATTTGCTTTCGACGACCCCGAAGATAACGCTGGATTTGTTAGCCGAATGAGACATGTACCTTAATGTTGTTGTTCTACATCTTGCTTCTTTGCATCAAGCTCGCGCTTCTTCTCGTCGATCATCTTGAGCACCTGTGGAGGTAGTACAATCCACCAATTGCCTTCCATCATGATATTGTTGACATCGGGAATGAAAAGCTTGCAGTCGAAGTCTTTGAGGCCATGCAGGAACGCGAAGACGTCGTAGTCACAGTGCACTAAACAACAGCGAGAGCATGGATAGAACCGCGAGTGCGCACGGTTCCAGGATTCGCGGTCCTCATGGACGAGATGACATCTACCGCATATAAAAGCGCCCGGCGGCAAGGAATCCGGCACCATCTCTGAGTCCGGCACCATCTCGATGGAGTCCGGCACCACCTCGATGGAGTCCGGCACCATCTCCGAGTCCGGCGAAGGCTGCTGCGACTCCGGCGTGGAGTCCGGCACCACCTCCTCCGACAATGAGTCCGCTGGCGCTGGATCCATGGCACGGCGAGCGGCGGCGAGCGCGAGCGGCGAGCACGAGCGGCGGCGAGCACGAGCGGCGGCGAGCGCGAGTGGAGAGCAGCGAGCGAGCAGCCAACGGCACGGATGGGAATCGAGGAGATCAAGTTTGTTGCGGCATCGAGGAACGAACGGTCCCGTCATCAATTCACGATGCATGGATCGATGGGGCAGGGGCTTTAGCGTCCACAAAACCGTAGTTGGACCCATAACGACGTTTTTTTGCATCTTTGCGTATAGGAGCCAGAACGTCATTTTTTCGAGTAACGCGACTAATGAATGAAAAATGCCTTGCCAACGAACAAAATTCATGTACAAAAGTATGTATATACATGAGCGGATACACGACCGGGACTGGAAGGACTGCAGCCTCGGACGCGGCTATTTTTATTTAGAAATAAGTCTTCAGAGAAGTTTATAAAGTCTGCTTCGATGGTCCAACACACAGAGCCCCTTCTGCTTTGTTGAAGCTAGTCTCTTATGGGTTTTACCTAGCCGCCTCACACTCACCGTCCTTTAGGGTTCTCATCGCAGCTCCATGCCTGCGTCAGAGAGTCCCCGAGTCGCCAATAAAGGCATGGCCAACGCGAGCCCACAGCAGGTCAACCATGCCCAAGCCACGAGTGCTAGAGCCAGAGACGCCCTTGGCCTTCGTCACCTTGCAACCCCCGTTGCAACGTCCAGCCGCCGGTGCCGCATCGACGCATCATGACTAACTTGTTGCCGGTGGGTGCGTCGCGCGCTCACAGTAGTAGAACCACCACCAACAGTCACCGTGATTGGACCTCGCCTACGCTGCACCTTCTGCAGCACACCCCGCTCCTCTGCGATCCCCAGGTGCCAGAGGAAAGTGTGAGACCACTTTCTATTATTTAGCCCTCCTCCTGGCCCATCTATGTATCCGCCACTGAGTATATACGACAATATTGCTTAAATTTAAAAATGCTTCGGCGTACGTGCACAACCGTGAGTGGCAAAAATGGATTGCTGAGCAACTGCATGCACCACACACACATATATAGATATACGATAGCGGTTATAAATAGTAAGTGGTGCCAAAGGTAGTAGGTTGGTTCTACACATGTGTTATTACAATCAGATTATACATGGGCCGGGGGAGCCAACTGATAGTAGCCAAACTAATTATCTTCAGATTAACAATTGCCATTAGGATACACACGCAGTTGTTTAATTATTAATTAGCTAGTACTGTAATGTACGTAGACAGGTGGTGGCTACTACCAGCTAGCTACTCTAATTAATTTTCGAGAGAAATATGTATTTGGCACCGAAACAAATCATTCTTTTTTATTTAGCACTAAAATTTTTGAACTTTCTTATTTGGCGTCGAGTTAAAATTTTCTTCTGTAAATGGTACTACTGTCCATGTAGTGCATCCATCCGTCAGTTGACTGCGTTGACCCTGTCATGTTTCTTTCGAAAGTACCAAAATGACCCTCTATACTCGCTCGTGGCCGGCGGCTCGTCTCCTGCCTAGGAGCTCGTGGAGGCGCGGGGGCCTCTCGCGTCGGACTCGGCAGATCGAGGCGCGGGGGACGCGCTGGGAGTTCCTCACCTGCCAGCGCTGGCCCCAGCTCGCAGCGCGGGGGGCGTGGCGGGGCGGTCTCGCCCGCCGACGCTAGTGCCAGTCCGCGACGTGGGGGACGCGACGGGGCGAGCTCGCCCTTCGGTGCTCCGGCCAGCCCACCTGGCTCGTCGTCGCGAACAGGCCGCGGGGCGGCATCGCTTGCCGGCACCCGAAACGGGGGGCGCGGCTCCTCGGGGAGAAGGGAGCGATCGAGAAGTTCCTGCATAATCACCTGCAAGATCCGCGTCAAGCCTGGATGCGCCACGACTGTTCATGCGTAGCGCAGCGTGCATCTCGACGAGGAGGAGGAGGTCGTCGAGCAGCTTCTCTGTCCAGAGATGACGCGATGGCGCTGGAGCTCGACGCGACGCCGGTCATGTGGCTCCGGGCGTGGGACGAGCGGCGGCTCTGCTGCGCAAAACGCGCCCTCTCCTACGCTGGTGTGGAGCAGGATAGCGATGCCAGATGGCGCGACACGGCTCGGGCGCGCTCGTGGCCGCACGGCCCGGTGCTGAATCGCTTGGCGTCAAACGCCGGCCGAGCCATGCACAGTGTGCTCTGCTCTTGAGCCATGATGTTATGATGATGGCATATACTCTCCTTTTCTTTTAGAAAACTAAAAGATAAATACCTTGAAAATATAAGTTACGTATTTCAACCGAAAGCCAATCCTGAGCCATGCATCCTTGATCTGTGGCCGAGATAAAAGAAAGAGTGACGGGCATAATCTGTATTACCAATTTGAAATTTATTGATTATTTATTTGCAGTCTTCAATTATCAAAAATCCACATTTTAGTTCAAAGTATATTTATGATATTTATGATTTTCTTATTTGACAACCTGTCTATTTATTTTTTTCCTATTTAACACCATGGACTTTTGCTACAATCAAGGGCATTTATGTCATTTTGCTAGCCACTTGACACCGTTACTGATCTAAATGGACGGTAGTGCCATTTATAAAAGAAAATTTCAACTTTATGCTAGATAAGGAAGTTTAAATTTTCCAGTGCCAAATATGAAAGACCGATTTATTTTAGTGCCAAATTCATAATTCTCCCTTAATTTTCTGGCGATGATGCCTGGCCCTTGAGAGCCTCGATCTGCGCCTTGCCCCTGGCGCCCTTATTCCTCACGTAGAGCCTGTACTTGTCGAAGGTCATCGGCGGGTAGAGCGCCGGCAGGTTCCCGGCCGTGACCAGCTCCGGCGCCGGGGCGACGGGGACGTCGCCCTTGGGGTTGTAGAAGAGCGCGAGGGATATGCGCTCCTCTTCGGCGTTCACCACCACCCGGTGCTCCACGCTCTTGTACATGGAGTTGCTCAGTATCTGTCGATGAGTGAATAATAAATTCAACATTATTATCAGCAATGCGATCAGCACCCTTTAGCTACACTTCTAGCTATATATAGCTAGAAATCGCTTAACCTGAAACACGCATGCACACCATGATTATCTGTCGGAAACGAATTGAGATTAATTAAAGCTGAGCGAGGTTTTTATGCATGGATGAACAGGAACATGCAGCATTCGTATTTTAAAAGGTAAGGTGTAGTTTTTATACCACGTAAACAGTAGCATGCATACATAACTATATTAGCGGTCGTTGGTCTACTAGTTGAAGTTTATTAATTACGGTTACAGCAGGTCTATCTGTACATGTGGAGCCGGGGACTAGTTAACTTGTACAGTCTACAGGTGGAAATACTGCTTAACTGAGGGTACCGGCCGGTGCAACAGATGGTGGTTGGCGTCAACTGGCCGTGTGCACCTGTGCATGTACTTTCGCGTGGCGCGATTCGTCAGTCGCCACCGTAACATGCATGCATGCAACTCTGTCCACGGTATAGCTAGCTGCTCCTGCACGACAAACCTAAGATTGCGCTCGCTCGATGATCACCGCCCATGCATGTGTTCATATGCAAACTGTTGACATAGGACTATAGGAGTAGTACTATACTAGTGTCTATCCGGTATTAATTCCAGCATGCACCGACGATTAGTTTGATTCAGTGTAGTCAACTACCTGAACTAATACAGGAGCAAAATTAATCAAAACTGTTCCTGACAGTGACATCAAGTGTTTACTATACAGTACTAATTAAAAAACTAATCATTCATCAGTTATATATCCATCCATTCTTAAATTCCAACCAAGGCGATGAGCGGCAGCGCACTAACTACCAGCTAGCTGTACTGTACGCGTGTAGGTGTACCGACTAACGACAAGACCAAATACTTCACGTTTGTACAGGTAGGTATACGTGACATTCACGATCGATCTTAATCCATCGACTAGTAGCTCTAGAAAGCTACGCATCTGGAGCTGGAAGTAATTTTTATTGAGCTTTTCTAGAAGCCAGATACACAGCGCCAATGCAACGTGCACAAGCTATAGATGCATGCGCATATATATATACATACCTGGACTTGGTCGCCGACGTTGACGATGAAGGCGTCGCGGACGGGCTGCACGGTGACCCACTCGCCGTCGCCGCGGCGGACCTGCAGGCCGCGGACGTGCTCGTCGGCGAGGAGGACGGTGAGGGCGCCCGGGTCCGAGTGCGCCGAGAGGCCCAGCGTCAGGTCCGGCTGCGGGCACCGCGGGTAGTAGTTGGCGCGCAGGGTCGCGCCGCAGTCAGCGCCGCCGAACGCCCGCTGGAAGTGCGCCTCGTCCAGCCCTAGGCTCACGGACAGCACCCGCATCAGCAGCTCGCACAGACGCACCACCTCGCGCCCGTACTCCTCCGACACTTCCCTGTATATGGTATGTATATACACATCAATACATGAGCAGCTAGGCTATATATACTATATATTGTACGTGCATCTCAGTCTGTAACTGACAGTACTGTATTGGTCCCTGTTTTTACTGCAATGAGCTGGCCAGCCCATTTGGCACCTGGCATGCAGTTGCAGTGAATAGGAGCGAGCACGCAACAAGGTCTACTACACGACGACTGGGACACCCCTAGAAAGGAGCACGTCCATGTTGTGCTAACCATAGCTTTGGAATTAGACAGACCTGCGCTGCGCTGTGGCTCTCTCTAGGCATTTTGCATGAAAGCACCATGGACCTACTTTCCGTTTTCATGCACGTGTTGTATTAAGATGCTGAGTCATTACTACGGCGTGACTTATTTTATATGGAGTAAGTGTTATCTATACAGTGCATTTTAGGCTCCACGCAATGACTAGCTAGGGAACAAGCTTGCAATGGTTGGAGAAGTACGGCATGGGAAGGGACAGTTACGTTAATCTATTTTCTGAACAATCAGTGCATTGTTCTCTGGTAAAACATCACCAAACCTAGCTGATTAATTCAACTCAAATATTTGTTTATTAAGGATACAAAAATTAAGTATAGTTGTGTAGTTTTCGCAGTATGTCACTCAAAACCATTTTAAATTTTGCCAAGGACATATCTTTTCGACACATGTTTAAACATATCATATTTAAAATTACACGAAAACAAAGGTCATCTCCAATAAAACTACAAAAAGAGTAATAATAACATAAGGATAATGTCTTACTTATAGGAAGAAAATAAACTGTGTGTTTGTGACTTCGTCGTGTCCACATCACGAATTATTCTATACATCTAGCAGGTTGAAAATTTGGAGTTAATTAAGTACATGTAATCATATGAACTATATATAACATCGAAAATGTTGGACTTATCCACACTCGATCCATTTAGCATGCATGCCCAAACGGAAGAAAAGGTCAATCTCAAACTTTGCACGGTTCAATCGAACTCAAGCCTACTCTGCCTAAGGGGGAAAATCTATATGTAGGACCTTTTAATACTCCAATCCTACACATAATGAAGTTTCACAAGAACAGCTTCAATTCTCGTCGAAACCCAGAAATTATTTCATGTGTTCCAAACGGGATGGATCGGACCTTCGTGTTAATTACCTAGTACATATATAGAGATGCACACGCATGTGCACCACAACACACAGCTCTGAATGCATGCACATGGGCACGCTATAACTTTTTTCAGCTTAGGATCTGGGGAAAAAAAGAGTATCGAAATTCACGTACTTGCAGTTGCTGGGGTTGGCCGGCCAGAACTTTGCCTGGCTCTTGGCCGCCTCCGGCGCGAGGTAGAGGAAGAAGTAGTCGCCCCAGTCGAGGACGGCGCCCTTCTGGACGCCGAGGCGGCTGCCGTAGCCCTCGTACGTGCGCGGCGAGTTGGCGTAGCGCTGCTTCTCCGCGAGCGGGCGGCGGAAGAAGCCGCGCCAGGCCTCCCGCGCGGCGCGCATCAGCTCGGGGCGCACCCCGTGGTTGACCACCTGAAAGAATCCCCACTCTCGGCACGCGGCCGCGACGGCCTCGGTGACGTCGTTGCCGAGGCCGCCGCCGACCCCGACGGCGCCGCCGTCCTCCGCCAGCAGCAGCTCGCCGAGGTCGACGACCGGAATGCTGATGATGTCCGAGGGCTGATCCTTCTCCAGCTGGGCCTGGACTGCCGCCGCCGCCGGGGCCACGGCGGGGCGGTCGCACGGCGGCTTGACGTAGCAGCGCGGGATGACGGACAGGCCGCTCTCGGCGAGCGCCTGCACGCGGACGACGGGCTCCGGCCACTCCTGCATGCAGTCCGCCATCTGTGTGTCTGGCTGGCCCTTCCCTGGCGTGGCGCCGCAGCAGCCTATATGCATGCAACGGTGAAGAAATCAACGATCGGCAGTGGGAGCGAGAAAGTACAGTGGGCAGCTGGACATGCTTGCTTGGTCCTATACGAGCTACAGTGGGAACGAGGTGACTGCATATGCATTCAACGCGCGAAACAGGTGTGGGGGTGAACACGAGGCGAGGGGATCGGTCTACGATCTTGCGCGGAAATTAAAACGGGTCGGGACAAGGCACGAGATGGGATCATGGGAATGCCGGTGACGACGACGACGACGACGACGACTCATGGATATGCAGTGAGGGTGAGGTATGGACGCGTGCTAGCTGTGCCAATAAGAACACGATCGATCGAGCTGATGATGAGCTTGATTTGCTAGAGCACAAGACAAAATTAGCATAAGGGAACGAGACGTACTGGCGGGGACAATTAGACCTCGAGTTCTGAAGAGAGAGCTGAGGCCTGCTGAGTCTGTGGTGTGTACCCCTTAGTCCTTGGATGGCTTATTAGTGAGACACTCAACAGGGGTATATATAGCCAGAGATGAGAGATGGAAAGAGACGTTTGCAAAAGAATTTTTTTTTTGCCAGGGATCGGAGTCAGGGGCGAAAAGCTATGGAGCTGGTTTTGCTCTGCTTTGTTGGGTCTCCTGGGCGAACATTTTGGCTGCTCACCTGGTCTGGTTGTCGATCCGTTGGGTTGGCGCGGCCGCGGGGGCCGGGGGCCGACTGGGCGCACAGCTGACAGCTGGGCACCGCAGGGACCAAAAGGGCAGAAACGTGTTTTTTGTGCGTTATTTGTGCCGGCCGGATCTGCTGTGGCTGATGCTGACCACTGGTGGGCAGATGGACTCGGTTGTAAAACGTACTCCTGCCTACTGGCCTCTCGGCCGGCCCGACAACACCACGTACAGTTCGGCTCTGGCGAACGCACATAAAGGATAACAGTGTATGCTTTTTTAGCATATAGGCATAGAGCGATCGCATATTTGATTTGATTTCTACACGATGTGCTGATCGGAAAATGATTTGATTTCTAAAACCCAGTAATGTATTTCAATTTAATTTTATAGAACATTTAGGATTTAAAAAATTCTCGCGTATTAAAGGGGCATATAAAAAGGAAGTATTGGATGCGTAATAAAGATAAGTACTTTTTTACTAGAGGCAGAGAGAAGTAATTCTGCACATATATTTTTCTTTTCAAAACACCCTATTTGAGCACAAAAAAGTAACTGACAAAAAGAAATGAAACGTGGATTATATATCTCTTCAGTGTCTTTTGTGTCTATGTAAAAGCAAAATTCAAATGAAGTGAGACATCACTATATATGGAAAAGTCTGGGAGCCTAACCTCAAACGTCATGCATGATGAAATTATGAATGACCATCTAAAGACACATTCTCTTTACATGACAAGATAGGAGCTAGCTTTAGGCAAAATAATCTCAATGCAGTAATATATACATACTCAAGTTTGTTCCAATAAAGGAATATTTGAGGCAACTTGATGAAGTCGCTTATGTTTGTCCTAATATTGTTGCATGGAATCCTAGAATCCAATAGCTCCACCACTGTTATGTCACGGCACTCGTCTATCCTCTCTTAGCACGTCAATGTAGGGTAAGCCTTTTTAATCCTTACATTTTTACAAAAATGAATCATTCTGCTTATGCGTCATAAAAGTTTGATCATGGTACACCCTATAAGTTATTCACTTGACTTTTAGTAAACCAGAAATACATGGAAAATTCTTCCACCCATCTTGGCGTGTGCTACAATACGAAACAAGTTATTAAAACTTATATATATAGAAAACAAAATAAAGTTATATAACGAATGAACTTTTTCAAGTTTTGTTTAAGTATATTACAATCTCATTAATGATAAATTTGGAATTACATTACCACGTCGTGGGTTATAGTTCATCAGATAAAAAATACATGTCACATTTGACTTTGCATGATCTTTAATGCGCATTTTTAACCAATAGTTCCCTCTAGAATATATTCTGGAAATCCTTGCTCGATTTTTGCAAGTATATTTCAACACAAATTTTGTAAGTTACATATCCCAAACCTAAATAATATCAAAGTTTTCTTTGTTTATTCTACTGGAGGTAGTATATATTTCTTTGGTTGGTAATTTGGTATGGTCGAATTGAAGATATTTTTTATGATTCTCCTTTAAAATCCTTATTGGAAAACATATTTTGGTGGTAAAAAACATAATCATCTTGCCTATTTAAAATACTTACACACCATAAGTGAGCAATTGATGTATGTGTTAATGAATTTAATGCTAAAAACATTTATTTGTTGCTCTTAAATGAATGCTTGTCGCTCTATTTAATTTGCAGGATAGCTTAGACATGTTGGTTTTAGGCCTTGTTGGGCAAGACTCTTGGGGACTCCATCTCTAGTGTTGTAGTCCACAGAAGACAGAGCCATGAAGCCACCAAAACTTGGCTTCATCAGCTTCATGTGTTCCCTAGTTCATTTTAACTTGGCGAGAGAAAAATAACTCTGAAACGAATACTACTAGAGTATTTTGCTAGTAGAAATTGTAGCTAGCCGGAGTCACACCAAACAACCCATTAGCTTTATTTGCTCTTGGCTTCTCACCTATATTCAAAATTTAGACAAATAGAAGTTAATCCACACTAACAAAATTTCTAGCTTTTTAAAAAGCTATGTTTTTACTAGCAAGCAAGAGCCTATGGAGCCACCTTATGAATATAAAAACCAACACAAATAAGCAAGGTCTCAACCAAAAAGTAATTTCTTTCTGGAAACACCCCCTATTAGATAGCATATTTGAACGGTATTTCCACACTTGTGTCACATCCTCCAGGGAGAGACGCCACCTAAACCCTAGCACCGCCTCCTCTCTCTTTTTCTTGGTGCCACTAGAAACGGTGCCGGAAAAGACCAAATGAGCATGATGGCAATGGCAGCAAGGCCTTGTCTCACAGTATTGCTGCAGCAGATGGATTTAGATCACAGTTTGGTGGCTCAATCGTGCGCATAGTGTCGGGTTCATAAACCCAAGGTCCCCAATGGACCCGCTTCCCTACAAAACCCGGCCCGGCAGGCGGCGCAGCGACAGCACGCGCTTGGGCCGGCCCAGATACATAATGACAGGCCAAGACAACGATCCGGTTCCCGACCGGAAGGCCTGACCAAGGTGGGACCGCAGTTCGACTCCAACCCCCTTTCTCCGATCAAGGATACGCCGGGCCTCTGCTCGCTGCTCTTTCTCGACAGACACGGTCGGGGCCAACTGGGAACGACTGACCGGGGACGCCCGCTCGGTGTGGGCCCAGGGAGCAGGCGGAGCAAATAAGGTAAGACGCTCAAGTCAGCAGCAATACCGAGGACCGTACCCTGCCATGCCCTGCGCACCTGCAGGACGGTGCCATCGGGGAATGTCAGGCGAACACGGTAGAGCCTGCCAGACGCATCAGAGCATAAACAGTATTGTGGACGCCGTCGTTTGCCATACTAGGCGAACATGGTAGAGCCTGCCACACGCATTTGAACATAAACAGTATTATGGGTGCCGATGGCCATCCCGTACCCGATGGAATGGGCAACAAGACTAGGCAACGCACGTATACACTCTCTCTCTCTCTCTCTCTCTCTCTCTCTTTCCCTCTTTCTCTGACTTGTAAGGCCATCCCCTTCAACTATAAAAGAGGGTGTGCTCTCTCCTAAAAGACCCCTCCCGAAGACCGGACTACTCGAGGACTCGACAGCTCAACAGCTCTACAGCCCGACAGCTACACAGTCTACACGCTCTCAACAGCTGGTAAGCTCGGACACACAGAGCACACGCTTCGATACTTAGCACATGTTTGAGCTTCCATCACTCTCGGCCACTCGGTCCAGAGTCCGACCGGGCCTCTAACACCCCCCTTCTCGTTCTTCACTCGTTTGTAACCCCACAGCAAAATTTGAGCACCTAGGCTCAGGAATAAAGTCACCGACCGACTGAAATTGGATGTAGGGCACATTGCCTGAACCAGTATAAATCCTATGTCATCGCGTGCTAGGCCATATCCGATCACAACGCACGACAAAACTATAAATATTTACTTGTTGGCCACATTTTGCACCGACAGTTGGCGCCGTTCATGGGGAGGACGCCGTGCGTTCACGCGTTTGGTCATCAGATGGCCCACCTTTCCACCATCTTCGGCATGGCGGGCTCGAGCGATACGATTCGCTTCGGCTCGCTAGAGTTTCCCACGCTCGCACTTGCTGGGCTGTGGGCTCCTCCCGTCTTCGTGCCACTCCAGACCTTCCTTTTCGAGAGTCTGGACTTTGTCGCCGACCATCTCGGCGTACTCCGCCTCCGCTAGGAGGCGCTTGTCCCGGCACCCACTGGAGGAGGAGCGGCCTCCACCAGCCCCGGGCCACTTGATGACCTCAACGTCGAGACACCCGCGCTTCGCGTCGAGCCCCATGTTGGGCTCAAACCCCACGGTGAGTGATTTACATTTTGTTCTTTACTCACTATTTAACACCCTCCGCCAACTCTCCGAAGGAACCCCGTTGTCCCACCGCGACCGCCATGCGACCGGTTCCCCTATGGCTTCACGTCCCTCGTGGACGCGTGCGCGCGGGGACTCCAAAGGATGTTGACGCCGCCCCCTCTCACGTTCGAGTTTGTGGGGATGGCGGGCTACGCTCGTGCCTCCTTTCATGACCTCGTTGATGACGAGGTCAAAAGTGATGGCTCCAGCATCAGCGACGTCATAGCACCTGGCCACCCTCTGTCCTAGGAGTGCGCTATGGCGGACGCTTTGGGACAGCCACCGGAGGTAGTGGAGGCTCTATAGACCCACACCTCTCTAAACCCCCATGCGCAGGCCCTGGCGTGTGAGCAGCAGAACAGCGAGGAGTTATGGCAAAGGCGGCAGAGCCAGCCGCTGCCTGCACTGGAGCGCCCAGCGCATCACGCTGTGCCACAT